CCCGCCGCTGGGGGCGGGCGACGCGGACCGCGCTCGGTTGTGGAGCTGTTGCTGCTGTTGCTGCTGCGGCTGCTGCTGCTGCTGCCACTGTGTTAGGCCGTCGGGCTGCTTGGGGGCTGCGGCCTGCGGCCGCTCAAACGCGTCGCTGCCGAGCGGAGCCCTGCCGGCGGCAGAGCAAGGACAGAGATGGTGGTAAAAAGGGGACGGGTTTGATGGACAACCTGCACTATTCCAGATGGCAGCCAGCGCAGGTGCTCCGCACCTCCACCCTTGCGTTTGTCCTGGTGACACACAGAGAAGCTCGCGGCCCAGCATGCGCCCATGCAGCCGCTGCGACGCGCTCACATTGTCACCGCCGCCGCCACGACGGGGCCTGGCATCACGGGCGCCGCTGCTGAGCCTGTCGAGGCGAGGATAGTGTCTCTGCAGCAGGAGGGTTGAGGGGGAACATAGGTTGGTCAACGCGGGGCAGCTGTCCACAGGAGGGAGCTTGCTTTTGCTGGCAACCGCTGGCAACCGCAGACGGGAGCATTCACCACGCAGCCGGCAGAAGGCGTGCGCACGCCTGCAGCACGTGGAAGCAGCCGCAGCTGCTCCGTTGGCCGCACCTGGCGGGCCACTGCGCCTCATCTGCGGGCCACCCCTGCTGCAGGGAGCGGTTCAGCCACTCTTGGCTGACGATGCGTATGCAGCCCCACTTCTTGGCCGCGCTGCGGGAGCAAACCGGCGGTTGGGGGGCCGTGGGCGGCTTCAGGCCCAGATCAATCGAGGGCCTTGCGTCAAGTTGGATTGCCCAGGCCCTCCCGTTCACCCAGACATAGCTGCCAGGCTCTGCAAGGCGCTATGCAACAATCCACTCCGCAGGCGTGGCGCAGGCATCAATCCCGCTCCCGCCGGCCCGCATGCAGGGAGGCCGCACTTGTACTTTGGCCCGTCGGGCTTGCCGCAGACCAGGTGGGTGCAGACGCCCTTCTGCAGCTCCGGCGAAAACACGCCCCCACCCTGCACCACCGCCGCCTCGACCGCCTGGCGCTGCTGCATGTTGAAGTTGGTGGTGCATATGACCAGGCCGGTGAAGGGGCCCGCGCGGTGGCCGTCCACGGGCACCTGCGGAATGTGAGAGTGAGGAGGCGTGCAAAGTGCGCTGCACAGGGTTCTCTGGGGGCGTGCACGCATTCGTGTGCTTGCTCAGGCTTGGTGGAGGCCACCAAAATGCGGGCTGCGTGCCATCATCAAGTGCGGGTCTCTCTGAGTCAAGGTGGTTGGCTGCATTCCTCACCTGCGCCTGCTGCTCCCAGCACGCCTCCAGCCATGATTTGGTCACCACCGGCACCTGGGACGTCACCCGCATGAGGGCCTGCGAGAGCGGCCGCATGCGCATGTGTATGCATGTGCACAGGTCCATTCGCATGCTGTTTTGTAGGCGGGGGGGGGGGCATTTGTATGAACTGCGACCCTCAAAAGCAGCCTCAGCTGGGCGTCCGTCGGCGCTTGATTCGGACCGCGCCCCCGTCCCCTGCTCTCACTCTGTAGCCCTCGTCCAGCGTGCAGCCGCAAACCACGACATGCGGCAGCCCTTTGGCGTGGAAGCGGGCCTGCGTGCTGCCGCCCATGTCGCGGACCATTCCGGCGAGCCGGTTGCCCTCCGGCTCTGGTGTATGGCCGCACACCAGCACCGTCGTTTCGCGGAATGCGCCATGCTGCGGCCTGCTACGGCCCGTCTCCTGCAAGCTGCCAGCCGAGGCGCTAGCCGATCCCATCACTCAAGTGTTTTTATTTGGAGGATACCTCTGTGAAAACCCGCCAGATCATTTTCATTTCAAAAATCAGGCTTTTAGGGGCTCGGAGAAAAGCATTGTAAAATCAAGAGAGCAGTTCAAGATTCATTTTCGGTTAGCAGCGAGCTAGAGCATGTCAGGCATGCAAGTCCCACCGCAGCTGCTGTTCTGTTTTGCACTGCAAGAGAGCACTCCACTCGTGCTCACATGCTGCCATGCGACCCCATCCCCGCCAGGTTCCAACAAAGTCATGACAGGTCTCCTTCTCAACCCAAATGCATGGATGTTACAAAATACGTCTTGAGTTGAGTCATTCACATGTGTGTGACGTTCACGGCAGGGCGAGCAGAAGCCATCATCCAGATGGTTGCAGCCACCTCGCTCTGGCAATCCTCCAGATCCTGCTTGCCACCCACATCCTAGAGTCCCAAGGACGCTCTTACGAGCCATACGACACCACCGCCGCGCCACGCTGCAACCGTCGCCCGCACCCGCCACACCCAAGCCCCGCCCTCGCCAGCGCAGGCCCCCGAATCCCGCCCCTCCTCGCACAGGCAGTGAGGTGATCACGGCAGCGGCGAGCGGTCACGCGAGCGCCCGCGGCCGCCGCGTGGCTCGTCGCGGTCCATGCTGCGGCTGCGCTCCCTCCGCGCCGGCGACCGCTCGCGCCGCGCCGGCGACGCCTCGCGCCGCAGCGGCGGCGACGCGCCGCGGTCGTCGCGGCCGCGGACGCGCTCGCCGCCCGCGTCGTATGAGGG